AGGCCCGCCCCTGCCGCTTGTTTCTAGAGGAACAAACGCTCATCAAACAGGCTTATTGCGGTCGGGTCACGCGGTATGAGAATCTTGGCGCTCTCATTGTGCTGCCGTCCGTGCTTTATGGCAGGTGCGGATCCGGGGGGGGGGGCACAATTGATCACCCCCTACCCTTTAACCCCTAGCTAGCTGCCTGGAACGTAGGCGGAAAGCTATAACTTTGCCCCTGTAAGTGGGCAAAACGGGCTACATTGCCCCCTCCCCAGGCCGCGTCTGGATCCGCCACTGCTCTCTCTCCAGGTCGTCCTGGCGTCAACCAAACTACTTAGCAAACACTACATACTGTAGACGTCCAAATCTCCTTTCCAGGGCCCAAGAAAGTCTTGAAGCGTACGCTTGAATGAAGCGTATGAGTGCAGACAGAATACGTTCGTTTAGTTTCACGTACTACTTCGTAAACTTATAAATCGTAAGCCTCCTGCCGTCTTAAAATACTGCAAAACCAACTAAGTGTACGATTTGCAGTCGAAAAAGAGACAGGGAATTCCAGAAGTATAGTCCCCAGCATTGCGTCGCCCCGGCCGCGCCGCCGCTAGTTCAGCCACTCGCCGCCTGCAGAGCAGCACCGCCTGGTCCAGAGCGAGGAGCGCCTGCCATGGGCGGAGTAGGCAAACCCTTCAGCCCTCCTGCCAGATGGGCTGCCTACGCTGCAGGCGCTCGCTCACGGGTGCCGGATACCGGTCACTTACAGACGCCGGTGCGTTTTCGGCTGGATCTCCCAACACTCCATTAGTCACACGTGTTGCCCTACAGCTAACAGACTCAGACTCGGTCAAGCTGAGGATGGGTGTCGCAGTGGCCCGCATAAGCAAGCTTGACATCGGATTTTTCGACTTTTTAACATGTCAACATTGAGAGAACAGCGTTCCAAACTAGGCGGCGTGCAAATATTACGTCACCTCTTTGAGGCCTCTTTTTGACCCTTTCCCCCATGTCCATCGGTTTAACCTAACCTTCCCATGCACTTAAGATAGGACCGTCATCAGAGGCCGTACGCCCTCCCCCCCCCAAAAGTGATGACGTAATATTTGAACGCCACCTAAGTGCGGTCCAGGGGAGTCCAAGGCGGGGTTCCAACAAGTTGGGTCCCAAGAGCATCGGGCTGTTGTCTAAACTGGATGCAGTTGTCACCCAAAGACAGCGTATTTTTCAACTTTCTACCCGTCTTGTTCGCGGGGCCCTGACCACTGCACGAAGGTGTGCCTACCCACTCGGCGCTCGAAAAAGAGATCTCTAAAAGGCGATGGGTTAACACTTCGAGCATACAAGTACCGACTACTCGGTATCAGGCGGTATTACGGTGGTATTAGATGCGTATTACAGAATGAGAATGCTTTAATTTTGTCACATCTGACCCGAAAATGGTGCTCGGCATAAAACATAGTTAATAAGTTATAATGAAGCATACTAATCAGTGTGGACAATTATATAACTGACGAGCAAAGCCACCGTCCCGAGTGGGGCAAAAGAATGCGCGCGTGAGCTTCCGGACCGCCCAAACCACTCGGCCGCAGTTTTTTGCTGGGTGGACTGGGGTTCTGCGGTCGCGCGGAAACCACATGAAGAACACGTTCACCTTCAAGCAGAGGGAGTCTGGAGTCTAGGGCCCGGCGTCTGGTCCACGCATCATAGGATCATTCACCGGCCGGACGGATGAGCATAGTGCACTCTGAAAGAGGAATTCTTGTGGCAATCCTTTATGTATTCAAATATTTTGATCTGATTGATACATTCAAATCCTATTGAGATACGGTTTAAATTGATACGGTTTAAATTAAGACGTGTTTTTCTCACTTTCGAGCTAGAATTGATTTCGTGCTCAACTTAAAAAATGAACGTCCTATCAAAGGTGACGACATTTTAATAGCCACTGAATGGAAATGCCGCCGCTCGCCGGCCACGACTCCAATAGTGTCGCTGCGTTCGGTGGATGGGCCTTCCGGAGCCGACTCGAGCAGTCGAAGAAATTATGAGGTGGGGAACTCGCGACCCGTCATCAGCTGATGAAGCTGCAACGCTCTGCCGTAGCGTAACCGGTCAGAGGCTGCGGCGGCCGCCGCTCAGAGAAGGACCGAAGCCACCCAAAGCGAGCGGCCGGCCGGCTGGGTCTGCTTTGCGTTCGAAGCGCGGTCGTCTCTGTCGCACAGCGGCGCGCGGCTCAGACCTCTCTGTTCCAACCGGCTGTTCCGAGCGCATACCCGAAGGCGTCGTGCCGCCACCCGCGTCTGTCTGTCTTCTTCAGTGGCACATCCCGAGACAACCTTTGGTCCGGGGGAGGGGTAACAACGTAGCAAGCAGATGATACTTTTACACATTAAAACATACATACAGACTAGTGCAAGACACTGCTTTTTGCCTGCTTTCAGGGGCAAATCATGGCTTCCTCTACTTCTCAGTGGTGACCATCAAGGTATCATGGGAAAGGAAAAGGGGGGGGAGGGGGTCCTCTTTCCTTCCGTCCCCTCCCCTCCTGTATCCGCGCCTGTTCTTTCCTGCCCCCTGCCCCTGGCGTGCGGTGAGACTGACGCACAAACGAACCCGAGGCGTTGGGCACATGCGTTCGGCCACCCTCTATGACATTCAGCAATCGGTTTCCGGGCCAGGTTTGACTTTCTCGGACAAGGGGTCTGCCCTTGCACTCGTATGCGTCCAGCCTACACTCACTCCCACTCACTTGAAAATTGGCTGAACGGGTCAGACAGTGGCTTGTAACAGGCTTCGCGATGCTTTGCCAGTTCCGACAATCCACTCCTGGCGTTTGCACCCATCTTGGCCTGCGGCAGGCTCCTTTGCAACACATCGGCCCACATAGAGACTTGATCGCATGCCGAAACGGCATTTGCTTTTTGCATTTATGCTTGGGGGCCCGAGCCCAGACCCCACTTCAAGTACGGAGTGACAGTGTTCACTGGTCAAACCTTATGACATCTCTGGGTTGACACACTCGGAATTCTGGTGAAATAATTTCCTATGGGGGCAGCAAGCACCCTCTAAAACCAACGAAATGATGTAAAACTTGGAATGAGAACGTAAGTCATTGAAAAGTTGACTTTTTCTGCCGTCTTTTGTGCTTTTTTTAGCTCGAATGACCAAATGAATGGAGGTAGGAAGCTGAATTTCAGCATGTGAAATCTCAGCCAGATCGGTCCAGCCGTTCCGAATGAGTAGTGCTGACAGACAGACAGACAGACAGACAGACAGACAAAACTTTCTGACCCCGGCCAAGTAATGGGCTTCGCTATCGCTCAGCCAAAAATGCCTGTAAGTAGGCTATTGAGTGGAAACTAACACTGACACTGAATTCTTCATACACTGAAAATCAATCTGTTCTCAGTACACACTTCAGTGCTCTATGTGTGTACTCAGTACGAGGGGCAAACAACTATTGAATTTTGGTGTACATTCCCTTTGAAATAACGTGAAATAACGGTGAAATAACGCGAAATAACGTGAAATAACGCGAAGTAACTTTACAATATCCTTGAAATAACGTTGAAGTAACACTGAACTAACGTCAAATAACGTGAATTTGAAATAACGGTGTAGTTTTGAGGAAGTTGTCTGCCCCTTGACTCAGTACACACGTAAATGCTCCTGTGTGTACTCAGTACACTCTCAAGTTTTCAGTGTACTTTTAGTCAGAGGCAGACCTCGCGGACAACTCGCTCCCACAGTGGGCTTGTGACTCATCTCTAGCAGTCAAGCCGCTTTGCCCGGATCCGTGGCGACCGCCTGGCCGGTCTCTGGTATAGCGGTCTGTTCTGACGCTTTCAGCTGACGTGCTCTAAACTTGCGATTCCACTTATTTCGTTTGTTTGTTTGACGTCTTGACCCCGGTCCAGCACCCACCGACTGAAGATCCGAGTCCCGGCCCAGCAGCCATTCCGGCCAGGGGTCAAGACCTGCGTGACCCGTAAAAAACCATTGAAATTTACCACAACGGAAGTAAGCCCGGGGCGGTTGGACTAAGTAGAAGCCGTTCTCGTCATCAGTGCCCTCTTTAAATGGAAAACGGCGGAAAAGTAAGCATTAACGTGAAATCACCCAAAAAGGTTGTTGCTTTTCTTTCTTTAAAGTGCTTTTTCTATTGGTTTTAGATTAAATGTTACGTACAGTGTTCGAGTTTGGGACAAAATCGCGTATTAATTCGAACGTTAAGTTCACCTCAATCCACGATCACGATCCACAAATAACTGCAACGTCCGAGGGTTGAATCACTAGTGTACTATCATGTGTACAAATTGGCCCGTACTCAGTGGACTCATAAGTTTGAAAAGAGCAAAATTGGCGTTGTGTGTCGTCTCAACAGCTAAATGAAGCCGAAGAACGTTTCAAAATATGAGTATTGAAAGGTGTACGTACACCATACGTTGGTTGATTCACCCCACGCCAACGTCTCCAAGATTGGTTTGAAAAGAACATTTAGTGTGCAGACTATGCTCATGAAGAATTTTGTGCGTTTAACTTTGCACGCGTGGAATTTGCATAATATCATGCGTAAAATTTATACATTTATGCAAATTTAAGAACAATTTTAAGCAGGTGCGTGTTTTGTAGGCTCCGGAGGCCATACATTTTGACCTAGTTCGAAAAAAGATTGTCTTGAAGTTCTTTTTACCAAAAGCCATTTGACCACCACAATTTGAGCCAAAACAAAAAGTAGTCATTTTTGAGGGGTTTTCCTTTGATATGGAAACACTCCGATTTAAAATCATCCAACACCACTAACAAAATTGTTCGGAATTGTTCGGCGAGCGTAGTTTGGAGTAGCAGGACGCTGAGATGCCCGATATCTGCCGCGCGGCTACTGGACGGCGTGGGACAGCGCCGGGGTCCCCCCCTCCCTCCCTCCATGCCGCCCGGAGCCGCCCGGGGCCGCCCGGGCCCGGAGAGCCATCCTACAAATAGGAAAACGAGGCATCCTCTCGGATTAGTTTTCCGCGAGTGGACGAGGGTCGCAGACATGACTGTGGTGACTGAAGTGATGGTGCTGGCGGCGCTGGCCGGCGTCGCCGTGCTGCTGGTTCGATTCCTCAGCAGCTACCAACACTTCAGGAAGCTGGAGCTGGCTATCCCTGGGCGGCCGACGCTGCCGCTCCTGGGAAACGCTCTGGACTTCGCCACCGCCACCCCGGACACGGTGCTGCAGACCGTGCTGTGGGCAGTGGACGGCCGCAGGCAATTGACCCGGGCCTCCATCTTCAACAACCTGCTTGTGGCGATCCAAGACCCCGTGGAAATCGAGGAGGTGGTGCGACGCAAAGAGTTCAACGACAAGTCCTATTTCATTTACAACCACATTCGCTCCATTATCGGCGAGAGGGGCCTCATCCAGCTCGGCGGCCCCGAGTGGAAGGCGCACCGTAGGTGGCTTCAGCCCGGCTTCAACCAGAACGTTCTGGACCGCTTCGTGAGCGTCTTCAGCGAAGAGGCCAGGGGCTTTGTGGACCGCGTCGAGGACACTGAGAAGGCGGTGTGCGTGCAGGAGAACCTCAGGAGGACGGTTATGAGAGACTTCATCCGTACGTCCATGACCGCGGAGGGCTCGCAGTTCGACGACGAACTCATGGACGTGGTGGAGTTTGTGGAGGCGGCCGTGCGCACCATCAACAGCCGATCCTTCAACCCCATCCTGTGGTCGGACCGCGTCTTCGCGCTCACGCCACTGGGCAGGAAGTTGGCGAGCTTAAAGGGCAGTCTGGACTCGTTGAGCAAGAGGATGATCACGGCAAAGCGGGAACAACTGGCCGACAACAAGGAATTCGAGTACGAGCGGGCGCGCAAGACTCTCATGGACATCATGTTGGGGACCGAGGATGGCGACAAGCGCCACCACGTGGAGGAAGCCGCCGTCATTGAAGAGTTCAAGACCTTCTTGGGCGCGAACGTGGAGACGACGGTGTCCGGGCTCAGCTGGATGCTCAAGGTGCTGTCGATGCAGCCCGAAGTGCAGGACCGACTGCACGCCGAACTCGTTTCCGTGTTCGGGGACAGCGACCGGGACGTCACCCCGGAGGACCTTCTCGAGTGAGTACAGTGGCAACACTGAGAATGAAAAAGTTAGAACCGGACTAAAATTTTGAGCAACATTCATTGCATTACCTTAATGCAAGCTTTAATGCGGATGATGTAGTTTTCCTCACTAAAGTGCGGCTACATCTAGATTTACAGCTAGCGGATACAGCCCTTTTCACCCAAATTCGGGTGATGAAATAAACTTCACTGACACTTGTGATGAAGTTTACCTTGCCCAAAATATACTAGTGATCAGAACTCGTTCATTCTCAGTGAATGCGAGTTCCGTATTCGACTTCGTAGGAATCAATCTTATTCTCGTTGACCCCATACGCGAGATACTATTATACCAGCTTTGTTCTTCCTCTTTGATTTCTTCGGAGGCGGTGGCCTGAATGCACACTCCATTTGTTTATTTTTTTACGTGTTTCCACACCATTTTGAAAATGCGTGCTCTCAGTCCAAATTTGAGAAAAGTTGTGCACGACTTTGTACAATTTGACGCCCATGTTTGCATTAGACAATTCATCTTTTCAAAATTTTGAGGCCACGCACACAAAACTGTACAAAATGCAGCTCAAAATTTTAAGCACCACCCAATCGAGGAGCGGTGAAACTTCTGAGACAACATAGGAGGATGCAAAATGCATTTGAATTTGATAAACTCTGGGTACGCAGGAACTTCTTAAATTGGTCGATTGTACTACACTCTTTTGCATCCATTTGGGGATGTATTTTACATTTTCTGTGCCAAAGGTGATGGCATTCGTGCGTGCATTTCACTTTAGAAAAATACTCGAAAAATTAGTTTTTTCTCGGATAGTGCGAAAAAGAACGGTATTGACGGAATGACGCAGCCACGGTAATCTTTTTGTTCTTCCTTTCAGGCTCAAGTACCTCGACCGCGTGATCAAGGAGGTGATGCGCATGTTCCCGCCCATCCCCATCACCGCGCGCCAGTGCTACGAGGAGACCAAGCTGTGCGGCCACACCATCCCCGCCGGCACCACCATCGCGCTCAACATCTTCAGCGCGCACCGCGACCCGATGCACTGGGACAAGCCCGAGGTGTTCGACCCGGACCGCTTCCTGCCCGAGCGCAGCAAGGGCCGCCACCCCTGCGCCTACATCCCCTTCAGCACGGGCGCGAGGAACTGCATCGGCGGCAAGTACGCCCTGATGAACATGGCGTCCTTCCTCGCCACCACGCTGAGGGCCTTCAGGCTGCTGCCCGTCGACGACCACAAGGACCTGGAGAGCCTCGCCAAGAACATGACGTTCGACCTCTCGTCGCACCTGGTGGGCGGGACGCGGGTCAGGTTCCAGCGCAGGGGAGCTTTGGGTGCTTGAACACGACGTTCGATCTCTCGCAACACCTGGAGGGCGGGACGCCGGTCAGGCTCCAGTGCCTTGGGTGCTTGAACATTTTGCGCAGAACCAAAGTTTAGAAGCGAGCATGTTGCGTTCAAACGTAGAAAAAGGTGTGGGGACTTTTTTTTTGTCCACTCCTTTTTAGCCAGATATTACTCCCGTTTTGGAAGTGAATGAAGGATTGTTAAGTTATGTGATAGTAGTATTTATATAAATTATTGGAAGTTATGTGGTATAAGTCAGTCTGAGTCTGGGTGACACAGCCACCCTGAGGGCTTCCAGAGAGGTTTGGAGAAGTACATATGTGGCCGCAAACTTGTCAAATATTTCAGCGCTGGTGTCGGCCATATTAATATGTGTGCTGTATTTGTACATTTTCTACGGTTTAGTGAGAACTCTGATGCAATCTCCTTTCCGTAGATTGAGAAAATTGACTTAGTTGTGAGATAATTCAACGGATAATAACTTTCCGTAGCAGGGTTAGCTCCCAAATTTTGTCGTTCTCCTTATTTGTGAAGCACATTTGTACTTTAAACTAGTCCTCTAAGACCTCAAATCAAAGAAGCCTGTATGTATTATACTAATTATAATTAAAAAATCGTTAACTATAACAAATTGAGTTCATCACAGACTCTTTACCATGCCATTTCCTCATACTAATCCAAATAGCGGGCACACTTAAAGTCTGCCTGGCGTGGCCGTGCGGCTGCAGGGCTGCGGATTTTCCACTGGAGCGTGTGTGACGTAGCCAAATAGCGAATGGACAAGCAAAAAGCACAAGTCAAGGAACGAGTGGACGCCAGAGACAGGTCAAAGTTTTCGTGAGGTCCGGTTTCTTCCTAGCTGCCCAGCGGCACGGCGTGCCACGCGCAGCAAGAGCTAACACGGCAGGCTAGGCGCCGCGGCGCGCCGGTCACGCAACTCGGAAATGACGCTAATTTGGCTTTTGTTTTGGCTGCTCTTATTCGTCTAGCTGGGCCATCTGTCTGCAGCAGCTCCAACAGTCTCTCTCCCCTTTTTTGGAAACCTGTCGTAAATTTACGACTTTCTTTCAACACAGTGTTCATCTTTTTGGGTACTATCCCATGCTTCTGTTCTGACTTTTCAATCACCCATCTCAAATGCCATCCTATGAAAAACTTCTATTTTTTGTCTTATTGAGTCCACATTGACATTTCTTTACACTAACGGTTTGGTCTGAACAAAACAAGCAAAAAATGGCACATGCTAGGATCCAATCTGAAAGAGTTCATTAAGAAACTTAGTCGGGTTTAGTGGTATCGGATAAAATGACCCAGAGAAAGAGCGGCGGTAAGAAAACCCACAAAGAGGTCGTCGGTGTCTTTGTGAGGGCTCGTGCTTGTGTGTGTGTGTGTGAGAGAGAGAGAGAGAGAGAGAGAGAGAGGAGAGGAGAGAGAGAGAGGGAGGAGAGGGGGGGGGGGAGGAGAGAGGAGGGGGGGGAGAGAGGGGGCAGCAGATGCTGCTCGCGTCTCTCAAGGTTATTAAGTGGTTCCTTTTGGACCTTTTATCTCCAGCCCACCTTCCTTGTCTACTGGCTGATTCCGGACTCGTCGCTCTGATTCCTTTCGCACCCCTACCGAACGGCTCGTGAGAGCGAGAGAGAGAGGGCGACGAAGCGCGGCGCGGGCTCTGCCGTGCCTGCTCCTAACACTCCATCCGACAACCCGAGCTCCGACGAGAAGACGCGCGAGGAGCTAACTACGCCTTATCCACCTGCTGTGGGACTGCTACTGCAAAAAAGGGGATACACAGAAAAAAGAGAAGGGAGGGGGGGGGGTGCGGAGGAGGAAGGAGGAAGCAGTGTGTGAAGCCTGTACGCTTTTTTTGTGCAGATGGACTTTTTGTATCAATTCGTACGCAATAACGCACACTTTCGTGCTAACTCTGCAAACTCAACAGTGTACTCAGTACACTCTAGTTAGAGTGTACTCAGTACACTCTAGTTAGAGTGTGCTCATGAGTACACTCTAACTAGCGTGTGCTCGGATGAGTACACTCTAACTAGCGTGTACTCAGATGAGTACACACCAAATCACGCCTGGCAATTTATGCAGCTGAAAGTGTGTACTCATCTGAGTACACGCTAGTTAGAGTGTACTTATCCGAGAACACGCTAGTTAGAGTGTACTCATGAGCACACTCTAACTAGAGTGTACTGAGTACACTGTTGAGTTTGCAGAGAAGCTATGCACAAATTCGTGCATGTTCAAAACGCATGCATAATTTTGTGCAAAACTCATGCACAATTTTGTGAAAAGCTCGTGCACAAAAAGTACATAGTAATTTAGTGTGAAAATGAGGTCCTTATCTGATTTCGGAATGTTTCGATATGACATCAACATGTCATCCTCAGACCTGATTATGACTTCACTTTGACCTGCTGGAATTCGGTACGCGTCCGCAGAGAGCCGTTATTTCCCGCGGCAGGTTGCACACACTAAATGTTGGGTACAATTTTGTACGAGACATCACAGTATTTTGGGCACACGAACTTTTCGTACAATTTTTGTACGAAAAACTGCAGATGTTTCCTTGTTTTGGTACGAAACCGCGTACAAATTTGTACAAAAATTTCATGTGCACAAAAAATTGTGATGTATCGTTCAAAATTTGTACAAAAACATTTAGGGAGCACTGCACCTTGTCTGTAGGACGAGGGGAACAACGAAGTGGACCAGGATGCTCACGAGAATCTGAAGGACTACGACGATGAACAAGGTAAGCTGAAGTAAACCTGTATGCTTGAAATGAAGCATTCACTAGAAATTCTTCCATGCTTTTAGATAGGGGTCTGAGCCCGTTACGCTCCATCTCGAGCATAAACGGGCCACGCTTGGAACTAGAGGGCAATACCGCGCTTTAGTTTTACCTGTGGAGGATCGCATCTTGTGACGGTGGCGAGAAACCCCAACAATTCCCCCTCGTCTCTCCCCCTTTCCCCTTTCTCTGTCCACTCGCGGCATCCCAGGATGACTCTGGCTGCCAAACCGGTCTCCCTCTAATTTTCCCCTTCCAAATAACAGGAAAATTAGTGATACAAATCGACGACTTAGGCCCACCGTAACCTTTTTTTTTGTTCCTCGCTTCTCGTCGCTTCCTTGCTTCCATTTTCTTCCTGTTATCACGCATGTAGTAATCATTCACAAACTGTTTTCTTTTTTCTTCTTTTTTTGGCCCATCGCATAATATTTCTGAAGTAAATACGGGTGGACGGGCATTGCGTAGTGTGCGTCCGTCCGTCCGTCCGTCCGTCCGAGGGACATCTTGTGGTCCGATCTTCGCCAAATCTTGGCCTCCTAGAGTGCGAATCTTAGAACCACCCCATGACGGCTTTTACGATCGACGAAATGAGGTCAACGGTCCCGATCATGCCAATCCCAACCTTTGGACCCAAGTGATACATGGGTGTCTCACAACCGTGGCGGGTCAACCGTGGTTTACGAGACACGGCAAATGGTGTGAGACTGTCCCACACTTGGAATTGCAGTGTAGCTAAGGTGTTAGTTAAGCTATGGTTCATCCCCCAAATTACGTAAACTTTCTGTCTTTATTGCGCTCACTGGCTGTCCATAAGGAGTAACGACTTCGCTACGGAAAAATGTTACGTAATATGTGGACTGTGAGCGCTTTTCGTTGAGGGGCTGATAGGCCCGCAGTGCAGGTCGCTGTTAGGAGTCACGCACGCTTCGCGTACTCGTTGTGACTGCACGCTCATTCCTGCAGCTCTTTTCTTGTCAACCTCTCCTTCCTTCCTCCTTGGACGACAAAGAGGCCGGCAGGGCGGCCGGCAGGGCAGCAGGCAGACAGACACAAATAAATCGCCGCCTAGATTGTGTTTCTGTTTGGCCGGTAGCGCTGGCAGGGGGCGGGCAGGGGGCCAGGAGTATCGTTAGGCCGATATCACGAGGTAAGACAAGCGTGGCCAGGGGGCGTGGGCCAAACACCTGCCACACACACATTCACACACACATACACAGAGCTACACACACACACACACACACACACACACACACACAGGCCTTGCAGCGTCAGTCCGCCATTCTTTCACATTAGAGTGACACACGTTAGACCCGCGGGCCTCCGCGTTTCCACCTGAGGCAGAGCCTCCCCGCCCATCTTCACACCTGCGATCTAGGACCAAGCGTCCGTCACAACGCTGCGACCTTGACCTTGATAGGGAGAAAAGTACTGTCTGCTCAAAGACGTTTTTAAAAAATGAAATCCGATTGAGAAACATGGCCATTGCTGATTTCGTCCCCCTTTATCCCTCACGGTTCCAGGGAAAGCCTATGATATTGGGGTTCAGAAGCGTGTGGTTTAAACTCTATAAAGGATTTTCATGACACTCATGGCACCTCGGCACCTCACCCCACACAAGCTACGAAACGTGAAGAAGCCGCCTCCTTAACGCCTGCGAACTGGAAGGTAGGCACGCCCGCCACGCACTAATCCGTGGCTGGCTGCCAGCCCGCCATCATTACCATTACCATTACGGGCTAGACCTCGAGGCGCTCCCTGCACCATTCTCCCACAACTCCGAGAAGAGGGCCCCACCCATACGACCCAGCCTACAATTCCGTCCAACTGTAGCGTGAGTATAATCCGGGCGGAGTCCTTCGTGACTCCCGACGGACCGGACGGATTTGCGGAAAGAATCCTGCAAGAACACTTCCGCTAAATGCGATCGCTCCACCTCGTGACTGCAGTCACTTACGTCATGACGTAAGATATTTTTCGAAATAAAGGATGGAGATGGTTCCCACAAGGAAGTAATTCCTTTTTAGACTTATTGTCAACGCAATAAAAAGCACACACGCTCATGTATCAGAATATGTCAATGTCCAAAAACAACAAAAGTGGCTCGGAGACGCCGCGAGGAACGGTTGGCGATGTTTGTAGATCCTGAGCCGTTTTTTGAGGATGCTTGGGGGATAAATAAAAGTCTGGATCTATTTTCCTTCCCTGGATCGTCCGTTCTTACCAGCTACGGAAATTCCGTATTTGTTTTCCACACCCGTTTACATGACAATATGAAGCAAGTACAGTTCCTTACTTTTTGCCGTGTTTCCGTACCCGATTCTTGTGTACATTCTCCGTACCAGAGTACAGAATTTTTCACAGTGTGTCCCCTTTCAGTTTCTACCGAATGAGGTCTGAGTTTTGAAAACTATTACCGCTACATGGGACACCAAGTGAGTCTCCAAAGGCTCCCCGAGTCCGCTACTGGACGTCGCTTCAGAGCAGCCCCATGCCGACGATGCACTTCACAGGGAATATCTCATAGCGACCGGGACGCTGCCATATATCACGGTAAAACCATGTCCTGGCAATTGACCCCTGGATATTTTCCCGGGAATGGACTCCAGAGAATCTCAGAAGATTTCCCCGGGACTCGACTCCAGAGAATCCCTAGAGTTTTTCCTTAGAACTGACTCCAGAGAATCACAGGAGATCTTCCTAAAAGTTGACTTCAGAGGATCCCAGGAGATTTTCCTGGAAATTGGACAATATTCCTGAGAATCTCAGGAGATTTTCCGGGAATTGGCCGATATTCCTGAGAATCCCAGGAAATAGTTGAACCGTGTAGCGG